ACAGCCTGCTGCTCCCACTCGGGGCGTGGGGTGTGCTGGGCTGTGCCCAGCCCACGTCAGGCTAGGGCAGGGTAGGACAGGGCAGACCTCCCGCACTGCAGGGGGCTGGGGGTCTAGACTGCTTCCGGGAATGGCCCTTCAGGTCTGCTCCTAGAGGTTGTTGCCCTTTTTTGGGGGTCAGGAGATGAGGGACAAAGACTTGCTTTTGCATTTCTTTTTTTTGGTACTGGGAATTGAACTCAGGACCTGGCACCTGCCTGGCAGTCGCTGAGGCCACTGAGCTAAATCCCCAGCCCTGCGACTTGCCTTTGGGGCCATCGTATTCCTTTGCTGGCAGCCCTGTAAATATGTTAGGTGTTGTGTGTTGTGCTTTTCTTTTTTAATTGATTTTTGTTGGGGACATTTCCCCTCCCGCACTGGGCTTTGACTCCCCTGCAGCCCGCCTCACAGTTCTGTTCTCAGGAGCACCTGCACATGGCAACAGGGCCTCTTCTAGCGCTGGCCGACACCGGCAGTCTCTGGACTCCCTGCTCCTCTCTGGAAGGTCACCAGGGGAGAGAGCCAGGGACAAGTAGAGCCACATGTTGTCAAGGGAGCCGGTGCCTGTTCAGCGTCGTGCTGGGGTTTGTTAATGAACCAGAGCTGAAAGGAGTACTGAACTCGGTGGTAGCCCACACTGCCAGGTCCTGGAGGAGCAAGCTCTGCGGCAGGAAAGGGCGCTTTCGGCTTTGCAGCCAGTCCTCCATGGAGCTGGCCGGGCGTTGCCAGCAAACTTCAAGAGTTGTGTTGCTTTGGAAATGGCGTTGAACATTTAGAGTGTATTTGAAATTTGAAAGTTAGGCCTTTCAATCCTTTTACAGATAAGTCTGATGACTGGGTCTGCTTTGCTAGATTTAAAGAATTTAGGCCAAAATCATTCAGCTTTTGTCCATGGAACCAAAATCGCGAGATTTACTACTTATGCATAGACACACTGAGGTGCAAATACATTTACATTCTTTTCCCCACAGTGCAGTGATTTAACTGGTCAGAAAATTACTGTTTAATGTATGGAAGAGAAACCTGAGCAGTGAGGGGAAGAGGCAGTTAACGTGGCCAGAATAAACTCACATTCTTTCCCCGGGGGTTGGGGACGAGGCCCATCTTGCTGTCCACAGAGCTTGTGGCTGGGTCTACAGAGTGGCTTATCCTGAAGTCTCTGGGCAGGCCTCACTGATGCCAGAAAATAGCTTTTAAAGCATAATCCATTATAACAGATTCGTTTCATTACTCTAATTTTTCTTTCTTTTGAAGATTAGAATTAAGGAAAGATAATTTCCCGAAGTGCATTCTTGGTGCCCTGAAGCCTGGGCTTTGGCGGGGGTGGGGGGAGGGTGGGGGTGAGGGGTGGGGGATAGGGGCAGTGGGGTGGTGGTGGTGGAAGCAGAAGGCTTTGGGGGGGTTGCGGTGGGGATGAGGGGCCGCTGAGCTGCTCTGCTGTCTTTTATTATGTTTGTTATCAAAGTGGGGAGAAGAGCTTAGTGGACTTCTGTGGAAAAGTTCCTGAACTCATCAACGCAGAGAGAGTCACAAGCAGCCCCAGCAGTTGTTAGCATTTGATATTTTTGCCTCTTTTTCTCTCACCACACATTTCCAAAGAATAGAAACATTGTCCTATATCACCCATTTAACGAAAGTAGTGTGAATCCCGAGAGTCATCTGACACTGAGTCCATTTTACAGCGTAATTTTATAGACTTCTGGTGCTACGTGTTCTTGAACACATCTGTTGAAGATGGCTACAGCTGTTGATGGAAGAATTTTTAATTCTATAAGTAACCTGGTATAGTGTGACACCGAGGTCTGGTAAACGTGTACCAAGTATCCGGCTGTTCCTAATTAGCTTTCTAAACTGCTATTATTTTTTGTGTCTTTGAATTAATTCAGCCAAATGTTGCAAATGCCAGTGACCCTGTATCTCTGGGTACTGCCCTTAAATTTCATTCATTTAGCAATTCCTAATAATCTGTGATGCATTGCCTATTTATTGTTAAACACTGTGTCTTGCTTGCACTGATTTAAACCTCAACAGGAGTATTGCAGTATGGGTATCAGTGCTGTCATTACATTTTGGAGATGAAGAAATGAACTAAGGAACAGAGAGGCTAAGACACCTGCTTGGGATCACACAGCTGATCTGTTAATGGCAGAAATGGGTTTTGATCCGAGTAGTTCAGTCACTCTTACCAGCGTACTATTGGGGCATCTGCTGCGTTTGTTCCTCTTTCTGTCCAGTGGCTGAAGTGGGTCAGGACGTCTATACCTGGGATGATGTGGGTCCTAAAGAAACAGCAGCAGGGCCATGGACTCCAGCACCAGTTCAGGCCATTATAGGCTTACGTGGGCTTTGGGCCTCTTCTTCAGAGGTGGGGACTGTGAAGGACCAGAAGTCTCCAGGGACAGGGTTTATTTGCACTCTGGAACCACAGGTGGACTTGAGGGCATGCGGATTAGCAGTGATTGGGAGGGTGACCTGCAGAGCATGGGTTATCACAGGGTATTGGCAGGCGGGCCGTGTGTGCCATTGGTACAGGGGATGTGGGGGACCCAACTGATTGCCAGCCCAGCTCACTGGGCAGACCTTGTCAGTCCTTGCAAATTCATTACTCCCCCCCACGCCTTCTGGAAACTTCCCTGGCCTCTTGAGTGCATGGCAGCATGCTGCTTTATAATTGTGTGTTTGCTGTTTTGCCTCCCAGTCAGATTTGGGAGTGTCTTGGTATTGAGCACCATTCCTTGCTTATCTTTTGATTCTCTTGCTCCTGACCTGTGCAAGTATTCAGTAGGCGCACAGGAAGTGGTGGCCTGATGAAACCCTTGATTAGTCTGAGTGCGCCCTCCCTAGCCAGTGCTGGGACAGTTCTGAGGAGGGGAGTGTGCTGTCCGCTGTGGGCCTCGGAGATGCTGAGGGAGACAGTCCACTCACATTCGGGCTGTAACAACCTTGGGCTGCTGATGGTGCTCTTCTTCCTAGCAGTGTGCACTGGCCTTGGCTTTGGGTCCAGGCTTTGCCACATTGGGGCTCTTTCTACCCATCGCCAAGTTGATCCTCAGGAGAGTGGCACCTGCCCTGGGTCCTCTGCCAGTCTCCTCCCTGGCTAAAGGAATCTATTAATAGGACATTTGCCTGGAGGTTAAATTCCTCCCAAATCAGTGAATGTGGGGACTCTGGGGAGATGTATTCCCCACTTAAATGTAGTCCTGTGGTCTGGGCAACAAAAGAGACAGTGAGAAGCAAGACAGGAGCTCTCTGAGGGGCAGCAGTGCCCCTGTGAGGGACCCCAGACGTGTGTCTTAAACTGGGGACTGTGTGCCTGTTTGTGTGATGGTAGTGGCTTCCCGGTCCTGTCCTGTTGTCTCACACCTTTCCTCTGCTTCTCTGCCATCATGCATTTTTACACAGTGAAGACGCATTTTCTATAATATGTTTTATTTTTTCCTATCTTTAAAGTAAATTAATTGATGAAATCATCCACCTTCAAAATACTGCTCGTTCCATCTCTAGAGGAACTGACAAACAGAGTGGTGCATTGGAAATCTATTAAAAACCCTAAGTGAGTCGTTTCTATGCTGAAACAATTAAATCACAGTCTCTTTTGGCAAGTTTCCAGTTTTCAGCCTTGGAAAAAGTTTGTAATGCATCGTGCAGAAACAACAGAGCTGTGACTCATATGGGTGCACAGTGCATACGGACTCTACATGCGCGAAACTCTGTGTCTTCAGCATCTGAAGGGCCTGGCACTCTGGCTGTCACTCCCTGTCTGTCCTCATGGTCCTGGGAACATTTCCTGTAATCCTGTGTGACTGAAGGACAGTTTCCAGTTCTTTGGGTCTGGGTAACCAGCTGGCACACACAGGTTCTACGAGGCTAATTATTTATGGGTTGATGTGTTTCAGGAAGCCTTGGTTTGCCAGCTTGGATTGTGTCGTGAACTTATCTGAGAAGGTAAAATAGGTACTGTAGAGTTGCAGATGTGCTGAGTTTGGGTGTCATATGCTTTGTGGCTGGGGAGCCATCAGAGACCAGCCAGCAGAGACTGGAGGCTTCGAAAGCCCACATGGTGCTGTGGGGTAGACTGTGAACATCCCCAAAATTGTTCCAATGGAGCAGCCATGCATGGTGCATCTGCAGCAGAAAGTTGGGGTATAGGTCCTCTTCCTTTTTGGAGGTGGAAAGAACAGAGAGCTCCTGATGGTGGTGAGGGCAGGGAATTAGTGTGGACTGCTGCTTGTCATCAGTGGGCAGCAGAGGGAGCCTGGAGGCAGCGCTTAATGGGCTTCAGCTGATGTGGGCAGCTTGGTGTGTGTTCACATTTCTTTAAGGTAATAATGTTTGGGGTTTAAACTGTTGTTACCACTTTTTCCACTTCCACATTTATATATTTTTTTCCCTTTAGGGTATTTTTAAGTCCTCTAAAGACATCCTGTGCAGTCCTCACAGGGATTTATGGTGGGGCGCCTTTTGTAACACAAGGAGGGCAGAGAAATGGGAAACCGAGAAAGAAGGGCTTCTGGGGTCGCCCCAAGCTGTTCTGGGGACGTTTCCTGTAAACTACAGCTGGGGCCCTGTTAGCTTCTGGGCAGAGATTTAAGCAACCCTGGGGGAAAGGCGTCTGGTCTGTGGCGGGGGGGGGGTGTTGGTGTCTAGTGGTGACCGGGGTTGGGGTGCTGGAGATTGCAAACCTTGACTCTCAAGGCCATCCTGAGGAAGGGAGAGGTGTCTCTCAGTGAGCAGAGCCCTTTGCCTTGGTCCTCAAGGGCAGCAGCTGCATTGTGCACTACCTGCAGCCAAAGACCTCATGGGACTGAGCCTGGTCCAGGGGCAGCTCTGCAGCTTGGGTTCTGGGGACTCCTCCAGTGAATGCTCTGGCCTGGGAGGCCTGGTGTGCAGGGGCCTGCACAACGGCAGCTGCTTATTGGTGGGTATAAGTTTTGCTTATAACATTTTTATCTCTGTTCCAGGTGCTCACTGCCGTCTCCCAGTTGCCCACCTGGAACATGCACCTCCTGGTTATAGGTACATCTCGTGTCGTCTCGGGGCAGTGGAAGTGCCTCTGAGAATGGAGAGATAAGACACTGTTCTTTCAGGCCTGTGTGAGAGAAAGCTGTGACCCCAAACCTCAAACACAGCCCAATGGATCGCAGCAGAGAGGCTGAGATGGAGCTGAAGAGAGGGCCCAGCCCACCCAGGGCCAGTAGGAGCCAGGAGGTGGATGGGGACAAGGCTGCCTGCCATAGCTGTTGCATCTGTGGCAAGAGCTTCCCCTTCCAGAGCTCTCTGTCACAGCACATGCGAAAGCACACAGGGGAGAAACCCTACAAGTGTCCCTACTGTGACCACAGGGCATCCCAGAAAGGCAACCTCAAGATTCACATCCGGAGCCATCGCACAGGGACTTTGATTCAGGGACACGAGCCAGAGACGGGTGAGGTGCAGCTGGGGGAGATGCGTGTGTCTGAGGGCCTGGATGGGTGTGCCAGCCCCACGAAGAGCACATCGGCCTGCAACCGAATCCTGAATGGGGTGGCGCAGGTGGATAGCAGCAAGATCCTGCTGAGGAGCAGCCGGAAGGAAGTGGAAGGGCCAGCTGGTGCCGTGGAGGAGGCCGAGGCCGTGACCCAGTGCTCCTTCTGCAAGAGCCAGTTCCAGCGCAAGAAGGACCTGGAGCTGCACGTGCACCAGGCCCACAAGCCCTTCAGATGCAGGCTGTGCAGCTACATGACCTTGCGGGAGGAGTCGCTGCTGAGCCACATAGAGCGGGATCACATCACCGCGCAGGTGCCCAATGGTGGCGAGGCCTGCATGGAGAATGGCAAGCCCGACCTGAGCCCTGGGGAATTCCCCTGTGAGGTGTGTGGCCAGGCCTTTAGCCAAACCTGGTTCCTGAAGGCGCACATGAAGAAGCATCGGGGCTCCTTTGACCACGGCTGCCACATCTGTGGTCGCAGATTCAAGGAGCCGTGGTTCCTCAAGAACCACATGAAGGCACACGGCCCAAAGACGGGCAGCAAAAACAGGCCTAAGAGTGACCTGGACCCCATTGCGACCATCAACAATGTGGTTCAGGAGGAGGTCATCGTCGCAGGCCTGTCCCTCTATGAAGTCTGCACCAAGTGTGGAAACCTGTTTACAAACCTGGACAGCTTGAATGCCCACAATGCCATACACCGCAAGGTTGAAGCCAGTCGGACCCGGGCCCTGGCTGAGGAGCCAGCCACCGAGAGTCCCCTGGACACAAAGCAGTTCTTCCTACAGTGCCTGAATCTGAGACCATCAGTCGCTGACGATGCGTCCTCTGCCGGGCAGGCTGGAAGGCGGGTGGCCGAGCTGGACCCCATCAACAGCTACCAGGCCTGGCAGCTGGCCACCAGAGGCAAGGTGGCCGAGCCGGCCGAGTACCTCAAGTATGGGGCCTGGGATGAGGCACTGGCTGGGGATGTGGCCTTTGACAAGGACCGACGCGAGTACATCCTGGTGAGCCAGGAGAAGCGCAAACGTGAGCAGGATGCCCCAACCGTACAGGGGCCCCCAAGAAAGAGGGCAAGTTTGCCTGGGGACCCCGTGCTGCCTGGCCACTTTGAGCCCCGGCCTGTGGCACGCGCCAGCCGCCGGGCTGCAGCCTCTGCTGGCCATGGCAAGTCCTCAGAGTGCTTTGAGTGTGGCAAGATCTTCCGCACCTACCACCAGATGGTGCTGCACTCCCGTGTCCATCGCCGCGCACGCCGAGACAGGGACTCTAATGGCGACAGGGTGGCACGTGCCCGCTGCGGCTCCCTCAGTGAGGGGGACTCTGCCTCTCAGCCCAGCAGCCCCGGGTCAGCCTGTGCCACTGTCGACTCTCCAGGCTCTGGCCTGGCCGATGAGGCTGCTGATGACAGTGGTGAGGAGTCCATGCCTGAGCCAGCACCAGGTGAGCAAGTGTACTCAGGTGGACCAGATTGGGTACCAGGGCCTGGGTAGCCGCTTAGCCAGGTGGCTCTGCACCCAGCTAAGCACGTGCTCTGATGACCCTGCACCTGAGGACTCTACACCAAATTGCCTTGTGCTTTGGTCACGTTGTTCCATGTGTTCACACTCAGGCAGCCTTTAGCCAGAGCCCCTGTGTCCAAGGAACTAGGTTACCTAGGTATCCGGCACCCAGTGTGTGCCCAGAGCGTGTGCTGGTAGATGCATATGTAAGCAACTATCAGTTCCACTTGCACTTGCTTGTGTTACTGACCTGCATGTGCTTGTATAAAGTTCCGCCTTTGTCGTCTTCAGTTGCTGGTCCCTCCTGGGCATCAGCAATTTCTGAGCAAAAATCACAGTTGTGGACCCCTTTGAGTTATGCTTCTCTTTTTGCCACCCCAGTTCCAATTCTCATACAGCAGCTCTGTACACTTGCACAGATGTAAATATCCCATGCATGTCCTGCACACCTGGGCACACATGCATGTACACACACAACACACACACATGGACACATTTTCCTCTGCTCTTTTCTCTTAACACCAGAGAAGAATAACTTGGAATTGGTGTGCAGGTATAATTAATCTCCTCGGATTCAAGTAACCCTGTGGGTTTAGGGACAGTTAATTGGAACAGAGTACTTTCCAAACAGCAGCCATGTAAATATTTAAAGATGCTTGGCTAACTTTGTTTTCATACATTTTATAAATGTTAAACATTTTCATGTTCCCTGTTTTTTTGCTTTGGGTAATTGTGAATGGAAGGTGAGATTCACTGATGGAGCTTTAACTTTCTGTGAAGCCGAGGATGTTTTTCCTCTTCGCTTTGCAAACCTGCTAGTGAGTGTTGCTTTCAGCTAAAAGTCAGCTGAAAAAATAGGAGTCCAGTGGGCAGAGCTGTTTGTTTTCTGTAATGAGAAAGAGGGCCCCTGGGCTTTTCTTTCAAACAAAGCACAAATCGATGCTACTCTTCCTTATTAGGGATTAAGCGGTGTCTCATTACAGGTTTGTGCAGTGTACTGTATTGGGGGCCAGCTGTATTCTCATATAGGGCCGAGAAGAAGGTGGGTAGCCATAGTTTCTCTAGGCCTTAGTGAGCCCTGCACTCAGTCTGCAAACTTAACACATATATGTCCCTAACATCAGCCAGGGTCTGCCCGTGTTATGCTCTTCCTTGCTTAGCCATCAATCCTGGGTGAGAAGGAGAAGATGTGGTCCCTCGGAAGTGCAGTGTCATCCGAGAACTCTCCTGGACTCTCGTAGCAGCCTTGTGATGACTCCTAGCGACCTGGTTGTGGTCCCTAGCTGGCCCTTATGAAGTTGAATTGTTGGTTTTCTGTTTTTGCAGCTGTGGCCTTTACTGGTTATTTTCTGATAATGCTGTGACTCCTCTGTGGAGGCAACATGAGATGAAATATTCAGCTAGCACTGTATCTTCTCTTCTACTTTGAAGAGAAACAGTTTTAGTATTTGGGAAAGCTCTTGAGCATGGCCCAATCCATTGTGATGGTAGTCAGGTGATTCATACTGAGCTAACCCAGAAGTGTGGTTAAAGTCAACAAGCTGGGAGGGTCACATTATTTTCATCAGAAGTAGAATTTACTTTTTTTTTTTCTTTTGAGTTTCATTAAATTTTGTTTACTTTTTACAGGCATTATATATATTTTGTCTCTCTGTATATATATATATATATATATATATACATATATATAAGTATATATATATAAAACTTAGTTTTCTTAGAGATTTATGTGTATCTCACTTGAATCTATAACAATATATATATTGCATTTAAATATAAAAATTGGCTTTAAAAGAGATAGGATGTGGTAACATATTGAGGAGAAGAATTGTGGCACGACAGTAGCATAAAGCGTTAAAGAGCCTTTTGGGTCTGCAGAAGTCGTTTTATAATCCCAAAGCCCAGCATCTTCCCACCTAACAATACAGACTTCAGTGACAGCAGACACAGTTAGTGTCTTGGCCAGCGACACGTTACCCAGGCATTCCTTGAGGAGAGAGGCTGTGTCACATCTGTTTACTCTCCAAGCACCCTGATTGTACGGCGCGACCAAAGCCTTGGAATAGCTGCCATTGAAAAGAAACCAGGTATTTTAATGCTGTATTTTGATCTACATGGTGCCCTCCCCCCACAAAACATGTATAAGGCTTTGAAAAATGCCTGCCTTTCTTGTCACTAAGAGGATTACCTAGATACTTGAGCATTAGTTAAGTTTTTATAGAATGTTGGAGTCACTGGTTCCCACTGTGAGCGCAGGGCAGGTCTGTGGAAGTGGAGATAGGGTAGGCTCTCATGAGAGCCAGCCTGCTTGGAGTAGCAGAGTTGAAATTAGAATTCACATTTGTGTGCACATCCCATGGTTTTCCTGAAAAAAACTGACATCCGGGGATAATCGTGGGGCTCATTCTGGATGTCTTCCTTTGGAAGTTCTAGTGATTATACTGCTTTGTCTCCTTGTAGCATTGGTCCAGATATCCAGCTCAGCGGACCTGAAATGCAGGGGAACATACCTATGAGGAAAATTCAGTAATTGAATGCATGTTACTGAGTGGATTTAAGTCCTCAGCTGGGCAAATGAGGAGGCACTGATGGAAACTACTCTTTGGAAGATCACAAGTATTTATATTTTTGGTTGGGGGAAAGGCACAAGGGCATAATTAACATTGATTAAAACTGTCCTCATGTAAAGTGGAGTCAGGGAGCTCAGAGGCCGTCGCTCAGGCAAATTGCATTGTTTCACAAGTACGCACGTCAATTTCAAGTGTGCAGGCCAGACAGGAGCTCTGCTTCAAGTGTTTAGGTGACTTATAGATAGCAGCAGGACGTGGAGAGGTCAGGAGCGTCTTGGCAGAATTTGCTTAATGGGGGGACCTGTGGTGCCCGAGGCACCCTGGCAGAAAGTGGGACTGGGCTGCTGGGGTGATGTGCAGGTATTAGAACATGCCTTTCATGCGAGGCACCGGGTGTCTGGTAACTGCTGTTTGCATATCATTGAGATTAATCTGGCTGCCCCAATTTTTCCCATTTCTGGCCATGCTATATCTGCCATGTCAAGCCCTATTCTGTGGTGCCTCCCTGCTGCTCCCAGTCTTGAATATTCACTGAAACTTCTTAGGAAGCCTCTAAGCTTTAGATAAGTCCTAGGGATTTCTAGGTGTTCAGCTGTTTCAGACTAAGAAACAGGGCAGATGAGATGGTTCAATCAGTAGGTTAAAAAACGGCACGGGTTGGGTGCCATCCTGTTGTGTGCAGTATGAAGAATTAAGGAGTCTTTAGAAGAATAAAATACGGCCAAGGGAAGGAAGGATAACCACAGCACGCGGTCAGATTCACCTCCTCAGAAGCGCTCTCTCTGTGGCCAGCCTTCCTGTAGCGAGGTGGCGAGGTGGCCAGGCGCTCCTCTCCTTCCCTGCACTAGCTGCACGTAGTCTTTGGAGCCCAGGTAGTGAGCGTGCGCTCACTTTGAGCCTGGCTGTGACTCAGACTGTGAGCTCCTTCCCAGAGGTCCACACTACACCCAGCAGCCGTTCTTCTTCCGCTTTCATAGGGCAGGGGCAGCAATTCGGACAGTTTAAGGACAAAATTTTTTCTGTGTCTACCCATTGAGACAGGATTGAGGGTGAATCCAACAAACAAAAGTAAGAACGTGGCATGCTGGGGCTGGACAGTGAGGGATGTTCGCTCATGCCGAGCTTGCTGGGCTGGGGAGGCTTCCTGTATTTACTCACTCAGTTTCCTTCAGTGTCCAGCAGGTGTGACGTGCAGGGGACGCAGTCTTCTTTTGTCCTGTTAGCCAAATTCGTAATGTGTGCTGAGTGTCTGGGCAAGGAATTTGGGACGAAGTCTCCACTGTGCTGTCCTGGCCAGACAGCTGCAGGCTAGGCTTTTGTGGAAATGAGTCAGGAGTGAGAGGAGAATCTGTCTTAGCACAGTGCTTCATTGCTGGCCCTGCAAAGAGGCTAAAGATTCAGAGAAGAGGGACTGTGGGCCCAGGCATGGAGAAAATGAGCAGCGTGAGACCAGGAGAAGTTGGAGGTATGGACAGGAAAGAGTAGCTGGGGAGGAAGGCGTCTGCCAGGAACCTCCATAGAAAAGACAGTCGTTGGTGGGCCCAGCTGCGTAGTCAGTGATTGAGAGGGCGTAGTGTTGTGCTTCATCTGTGGAGCACGTGCCTGCGGAGCTAATGAAGGTGGAAAGGGTATGGCTACGCCCTGGTACACTGCTCCCTGCTTTGACTGACCTCGAGCAGCCCCAGGTTCACTTTGAGCATGCCTGGAAGCTGTCCCGAGACAGCATGACACCATGACAAGTGTCAGGTGTCCCCATGAGGGATCACTCTCGGGGGTATTCTTCCCAGTGCGCAAGAAACACAGGATGGGCTGGGGATTTAGCTCAGTGGCATAAGTGCCTGCCTGGCAAGGTTGTGAGTTCGATCCCCGGTACCACAAAAAAAAAAAAAAAAAAAAAAAAAAGAAAGAAAGAAAAGAAAAAAGAAATAAGCATAGGACAACCCAGGACAGGATCTAGTGATGTGGGAACTTGGGACAGTGTGAGGGGAGACAGTTTAGACAAGATCAGCAGATCCTAGGCTGCTGAGAGCAGCGGAGGAAACAGGCAGTCAGGCTGGGCAGGTGAGCGCAGAGATGCTCCTGAGGGCTTCGCGTTCTGCTGAACCCTGGGAAGTTTATGTATTTTGAAATAAAGTGGGAATTGAAAACCTCATATTCAGTTCTTTGTGAAAAAATGCAGCCACGTTTTTTCGGGAAAATACTCAGGCATCCTTCGCAGTTGACTACAGAGCGATGCCTGGGTTAGTGAGCATAGTAGTTAGTAGCTGGAGCCACCCCAGCCAGTGCCACTCAGTGGCCAGTATGCATGGGGTGCTGCGGTGTTTTCATCTGCTTTTAGAATCACGATGTGAATGGCGTCTTGCAAGCATGT